GTGGAATTCCAATAAAATTGATTCATGTTTGTGGCTGTAATGTGACAAAATGTGGGAAAGTTCAAGGGGGCCGAATACTTTTGCAAGCCGCTGTAGATGTTATAGAGGCATTGTATTTCTGAGGAGCTACTCTGAGCTAGAGGATGAGGGGATTATGAGGTTAAATGTTCAATTCGATTTATGCTCATACCACAGATAACATAAGATAATTTATAACATAACCCTTAGACTTTCTTACAGCGGTAGAGAGGCGAGCAGCCAAGGTCATCTCCAGGTTTCCTTTGAGTCCAACCAGAGCTGGAACCAGGATGAAAACTTCTGTGATCACCTTAAACACCTCCCAGTGCTGGAACACACACATTGTGTAATGAGATACTGAATAAACAATTACAGAGCAGTGCAAAAAATACAAAACCAAAGCAAACATTCCTACTAATAATGCCTGACATATTCCCATTATAAAAACAACTGCACCTGATTAAACTTCTTTATGGAATTACAAAAGACAATCAGATATTCTAGACTAACCCAGTAGCCTACTTTCTGTTTCCACTCCTTTGAGCATTCGCTGCCACGCCATACCGTGCAGCTTCACTGGGTTTAGAACACGTGCAGTTCACAGAGTCCGCCTCATGATGGTTTAGATCTTTAAATAAATGCGATTATACAAGAACACAGCTACAAAGAGCAGAATGATGTGAAGATGTGACAGCCACGTAGGGAGGGAAGGAAGGAAGAGTGGAGGGGACTGACAAAGTAGGTCAGTAAAAGTTTGATAAGACGTTTTGTTAAATAGGTGACGTAGTCAATTATAAAATATAATATAACAGGAGCTAGACATAATATATTATTTATTGCTAGCATGTTTAAAAAAACAGCTTGTTCTCAGTGAAGACTATTGTTTTATAGCAAATACATCCTTGTGTGAACTTCAAAAGATTAATTTCTGCAACAAATATAGCTCCCGTCAGAGGGGAGAAATAACCTATGCAGGTGTACAACCACCTACATGAGCTTCTTAACTAGCTGACTCAGCTGATCCTGGATGGCATGTTGAAGAAAACAGAGAAGTTATAGAATTTCTCTTTCTTGCTTTTAAACTTCAGATGTACTCGGAGCCACAGTGTGGGAACCATGAAACTATAAATCTTTAGCTCTTATATATATATAGTGGGGATCGCATTCCTATAATAAACCTTGCAGAGCCTAAAGTCAACTTGAATTCAGAGTTACATGGAGCCAACAGATTCTAAATTGGCAGCAAGGAGTATGATTAAGCTTGAATGGTTGTCTCTCTGTGGTACGAGGCTTTTACAGAGGACTGGGTTCAAAGGACAGAGCACAATAAGCACAAAAAATATCCAGAAATTTATTTTAATTCTTTCTTCTCAGACGCAAAATCCAAACCAATCGGTCTCCATCACATCTTAAATAACTTATAGTACCACAATATTCTAATACAGCACTTTTCCTCCAATTCTACTTTTAGAAACTCTGAGAACCAAAAGTAAACCTGCAGTCTGAGAGCAGAGATTTCAGCTTTCAGGCCTCGATTCTGTGGAACTAGCTCCTCGTTTGGATTCAGGAGACAGACACCTACTCTACTTTTAAGATTAGGCTTCAAACCTTCCTTTTAGAAAATGCTTATATAGCTTATATCTTTCTATTCTTTCCTTTATCCTCTTCTCTTTCTCCTCACTCCCAACAGGTAACAGCAGAGGTCTGCCCCTCCCTGAGCCTGGTTCTGCCAGAGTTTTCTTTCTGTTAAAAGGGAGTTTTTCTTTCCTGCTGTTGCCAAGTACTTGATCAAAGGGGTCGTCTGAATGTTGGGGTTTCGGGATTTGTGAGTAATAACCTAGTGCCTATTAGATTTATTATTGAAGGATTTTGATATGTGTTGTCAGTATTTACAAAGAAAGCGCAGTGACAAGACTTAATATAAGAATGAATTTAACCTTTATTCGACTGACCCTGTTCTAGCAGAGCTTTTTTTTTATATTCCTCTGAATTCTGTGGCTGTCACATCAAATGTCAGAAACCCACTTCCACTGGAAGTTATGCATGTCCATCACTGCCTCTGACTTGTTTCATAAGTGATGAAGTATGTTTATGACATGCCTTCTTCACACTTTGTCATTTCGGTACAGGTCAATCTAAATATCATGCCCTTTCCATTCTTAAAGGTTATGAATCATTTCCATGATGTTCTGAACCCTACAAATGGAGCTACATATTGATGAGCAGTAATTCATTATCTCTCCTGTTTCCAACTCCTGGAACACAAATATTAATTAACCCATCAGTTACTGATTACTGTGTGCCAGTTAGCTAGCTTAGTTAACCAGAGCCAGTGGTTTGTCACATACAAGAACGACCCAAACACATTTTTAAATGTTTTTTAACCATTATGAACGTGCTAACTATTGCTCTTTTAAATATTCTGCACTCTCTAGTGTTTGCAACCAATTGGATCATTTCTGCCTCCTGACCTATTTAAACAATAGTGAACAGGTGATGAAGGTGATTGGATCCAAACAAGGGAATAAGAGAACTGAATGTCAGTCTTGTCAATGGTAGAGGAGTGTGTGTGCTGGTGTGAGTGCATCTCTATTCATACCAATTCCTCTCAGGTTCTGGATTGCTAAATCTGGCTGACGTCTGTCATACACAGAGGCTATCTTGGGACATGTCCCACTTCTGCTATAATACTGCTGCTACTGCTGCTTGACTGTGAGTGCAAGTGTGATGGGACAAAAGCCAACATAAGCCAGCTCAGTGCTACTGTAGACTTCCAGGGACTTTCTAATGTTGGTGCTGTCGCTGACTGATTCAGGTACTTCAGACACACAAAAATGATATTTTCAGAAAATTTTACACTCAAGAATTCAGTATTTTATGCTCGGTCTATAATAACAGGTTTTTCCTTTACTAACAGTATCTCTGTGTAACAAATACACTTCTTTTAGCCAATTACAAGCCAGGTCTCAAGCCAAATATTTGCTGGGGATTTGTAATGTGTTAAGTTTGCTTCATTACATTAAAAGTCTGGTTGCTCATGTTTTGTTATTAATGTTGTACTCTATAGTTTTTCTGGTCCCCTCACCACTTTGACCATTAATGACAAACTGGGTTTTAAAAACAATAATGACATTTTAAAAAGTACAGTCTGTATTTTTAAAGAGCCCGCAGTGACAAAAAGGAGGAAGCTCAGGTGTGGGTTTTTTTGTGACCGATTCTGTTGCACATGTATTTCTGGGGGTATTATTATGAACTATCTGCAGTGTTGGGGAGTAATGGAATACATGTACCGGCGTTACGTATTTAAAATACAAAATATGAGTAACTGTATTCCATTACAGTTACTGTTTAAAAAGGTGGTATTCAGATTACAGTTACTTTGTAATCTGATGTATCTAATCTTATTATAAAATCTAAATCATCCACCAGTCACCTTGACCCTCTTCCCACTGTGTTAGCCTGTCTTCCCTCGTTAGCTCCTCTCATAACCAGTATTATCCATTCCTCCCTGAACACTGGAATCGTTCCTGAATCACTGAAAAAGGCTTCTGTTATTCCAACTCTCAAAAAGCCTGGTGCAGACCCCAATAACTTTGATAATCTTCGCCCTATATCAAATCTCCCCTTTATTTCAAAAATTCTTGAAAAAGTTGTTGCCTTTCAGCTTCACTTACACCTCAATAACCATAATCTCTATGAACAATTTCAATCTGGTTTACGCCCCAATCATTTCACAGAAACAGCTTTGTTAAGGATTACTAATGACCTTCTGATGGCGGCTGATTCTGGTCTCCTATCCATCCTCATCCTTCTTGATCTTAGTGCGGTGTTTGATACCATTTCTCACAATATTCTCCTGAACCGGTTAGCATCCATTGGCATTAGTCATACCCCCCTTGCCTAGTTCACCTCCTATCTCTCAGACCGCACTCAGTTTATCCAATTTAAATCCCATTCTTCAAGTCTCCATCCTGTTTCTGCTGGTGTGCCCCAGGGTTCGGTATTAGGGCCCCTTTTATTCATTATTTACATGCTCCATCTTGGTCATATATTCCGAAAATATAATATACATTTTCACTGTTATGCCGATGACACCCAGCTCTACATTTCTTCTAACCCCAATTCATCCCTCCCACCTCCCTCCCTCTCAAACTGTCTTATCGAGATTAGATCCTGGTTCTCCTCCAATTTTCTTAAACTAAGTAATAAAACTGAATTTTTACTCATTGGCACAGCCTCTATCTTAACCAAATCCCAAGTTTTTCCATTAACATTGAACGTTCCCCCACCCTTCCCTTCCCTCAGGTTAAGAGTTTGGGTGTCATACTTAATAATACTCTCTCATTCCAGTCCCACATTAATTACATAACCCGGTCTGCATACTTCCACTTACGTAATATTAACCAACTCCGCCCCTTCCTTACTTCCCATGCTGCTGCCATCCTTGTCCATAGTCTTATTACGTCCCGCATTGATTACTGCAATTCCCTCTTATTTGGTCTCCCTAAAAGGTCCCTTCACAAACTCCAACTTCTTCAAAATTCTGCAGCTCGTGTCATAACTCGAACTCCGTCAAGAGCTCATATTACCCCAGTTCTTCAGCAGCTTCACTGGTTGCCCATAGAAGCCAGGATAAACTTTAAAATCGTACTTCTCACGTACAAGTATATCCATAAATCTGCTCCTTCCTATTTGTGTGACCTGCTCCATATCACCACTGTTTCCCGCCCTCTCCGATCCTCATCTGCTATTCATCTTACTGTTCCGTCCGCACATCTTACCACTATGGGGAACAGAGCCTTCAGTCGCTCTGCTCCTCGGCTCTGGAACTCTCTTCCTCCAGCCATAAGAAATATGGACTCTCTTCCCGCATTTAAGTCACAGCTCAAAACACATCTGTTCAAACTGGCTTATTCGCTTTGGTGCTGATTTTACCTGTTGTCAAGTTCTGCTTTGCAATTTTAACTTATTTTATGACTATTGCTTCTTTTATTAATGTTGTTCTTTTGTAAGGTGACCTTGGGTTTTTGAAAGGTGCCCTCAAATAAACTGTATTAATATTATTATTATTATTATTATTATTATTATTATTTGTTGAAATGAATGGATTACACGGCGGTCTTTTCCTGTTTCATATGTTAGACTATGCTCTTTCTATTTTTGGTAATTCCACGCCGGTGGAAACCCAAACAAAACACCAATTAAGAGGTTCTAATGCCTGTGTGTCAAATCTCATGTCACCCCTACTTGCAGCCCGCATAATGACGTGAAGGAATATTTAAAAAAAATATTATTAAAAAAATATTTAATATGAAGGCAATAGGCAGA